GCAGACGCGGGGACGGGGCTGGGGGACGGGCAGCGGCTCGGCCGGGTGGAAGGAAGGAGAGAAAGAGCAAGAAAGCGAGAGGAAAAGAAGGAAAGGCGAGATCTAGGGAAAGGGCGAGAAGGAGGAGGGGCGCCGTTGGGCTGCTCTAAAAATATTGTGAAGGCCCTTTGCTGGCTCTTGTAGTTCAAAATGGCGAAACGGCGCGGTGACCCAGCTCCGCGCGCTCCCTGGGCCCCTGCGGGAGAGGCTCTCCTCCGGCGCTTGGGGCCTCCCCCCGCCCCAATTTGTTTTATCCTAGTTTATTAACTCAAGAGACGAAGCAGAGGGATCTGCTTTGGGCTTTCGCTGCAGCCCCTGGCAGTAGCGGAGGTCAGCTGCCAGGGCCGGCTCAACACGCCGGAAGCAATTTTTGTTCCCAAAGCCTGGAGATGCCTGGAGCCAGCACAGGACGAGTTCAGACCCTTGGTTGTAAGCCTTGCTTCTTGCGCGCGGGACAGAGTGAGGACGAGCCGTCCATAAATCCCCACCACCACCACCGCTCTTGAAGCTCACGTGCTTCCCTGCCCCTCTCTGGCTGGTCTCTCCAGACTGCCCTTTCCCCTCACCTCCAATGGCCCTGGTGGGACATCACCCAGCAGCAGAGACCCAGCAGTAACCAAGAGCGTCCTGGCCCTCACAAAGTCACGTCCAGGAGCCTCTCTTCAAGTGAAGCCTCAAAATAAGAGGCAGGAATCAGAAAAGAGCTGAGCTAGCTGGAAAATGTGCGCGGCTTAAATTAGTGGCGAAACTCTGATTTGAAAGACCCTGAATTTTGCCTTTGGCCCGTAGGATTTGAAAAAAAAAACACTTTAAGACTTGGCTGCCGGCTGTTGCAGAAGCGTAAGGTATTTTTAATGCGATTTTGTTTTTATTCCGTGCCTTAGGGCAGCGATGGTGTGAAGCCCCCAGAAATTCATCTGTGCCTCGTATGAATTTTAATGCAGCAGGAGAAATGGATTCCGGTTCTGCCGCACTGAGCAATCGTAACGCATGGTAGTTTTGTCTTCAAAGTAACATCCCAGCCGGCTCCAGGAAAGGCTAGCGGAGACGCTGGGACTGGGCTTCGTCTTCCCAGTTGTTTCCACGCGCTGCCTATGATCCAGAGCTATGCTCTGGAAAGGCGATTAGCAAAGCTTCCCCTTTTCTTATCTTCTTCAAACGCTTTTAAGGGGAACCAAAAAAAAAAATATCATTAAGGCGGACAAAAAGATCATTAGAGGGAAAATAAGATGTAACGGCAGCGATATGGAACAACAGGAAAGGTAATTTAATGCAGAAGTCAAAGAAAACGGTGGTAAGGGTCAAGTTGAAGTTCTCCACACCCTTCCTGATCTTCCGCGCGCCCCGATTTATATTCGCTGTGGCTGAGCTGAGGAGCAAATATCTCTTAAGTACATTGTTTCCTTCCATTACATCAAAGCATGCTTTTTCATTAGCCACCCTAATCAAAGTGGACAAACGTCTCGTTTTTTTTATTAGCCGTTGCATCGCAGGGCGGAAACAGCGAGAGGCC